AAACATTAGTGATAAATGCTATAAAGAAAATATCTTCAGATTAAGTAACATTTAAACAGAGACCCAAATGACAAGGAGACAACTCGGCAAAAATCAGAAAAAGTACCAAATTTAAAGAATAGTGGGTTCAAAGTCCTAGGGTAAGAAGAGCTTGCTATATCTGAAGAACAGAAGTGTGGCCAGGTAGAAAGAGCTATATTGAGGGAGCAGCAGACAAGGACCAGATGATAATTACCGTGCATTTCACTCCCCACTTCATTCCTTCATCTAGCTCCTTTTTCCATTCCTTGTTTTCCTTACCCATCTTTTGCCTCTAGTTTAGGTTTAACACCTAGTCAGTTAATGGCTATAAAAGTTTATAACTACAGCTCTACTAGCTTTTAATAATACCATCTATTAAAAAACCAAATCAAATCAATAAGGATTTACTAAGAGCTTGGGTGGAATAAAGGGTGACCAATTCATCCCAGCTAAAGCACTGAAAGCTTCTGAAAGTTCCACATTGCAGGATGTGGAACCCCCTCAGACCCAGGCAAATGGAACTGTTTGGCCAGGCTAGCAGCATATGCAGACTCACAGGAAATACAGGCTTTTGAAAATCCCATAAGGACTAGTAATAACAAAATAACTTTTATTGAATACTTAACACTTAATGCATAGAAAGGCAGTTAATTCAATGCTCACGACATCTCTATTAAGCCCATTTCACAAACGAGGAAACTAAGGCTTACCGAAGCAAAGAAAAATTCCCCAAGTCCCCCCCCTCAAGGGTAAGACACAGAGCCAGGACTGTACGATTAAAAACATACCAGAGGGCTTCCCTGGTGGCACAGTGGTTGAGAGTCCGCCTGCCAATGCAGGGGATACGGGTTCATGTCCCGGTCCGGGAAGATCCCACATGACGCGGAGCGGCTGGGTCCGTGAGCCATGGCCGCTGAGCCTGCGCGTCCGGAGCCTGTGCTCCGCAACGGGAGAGGCCACAACAGTGACAGGCCCGCGTACAGCAAAAAAAAAAAAACAAAAAACATACCAGAAAGGTACAAATGCAATTGAAGTTAATTTCAACAGAAGAAATGACAGGAGTATGCAGTAATTAGCAAAAGAAATGTAAGCAAGAAGTAGCCACCACCAAAGCACTACCGGGGCTTGGAAGAATAAATGGCTAGGGTGATTAGAAAGGTTTTGAAAAGCTGGGATTGAGGCAAGGTTCCAATAGCATTTGAAAAACTGGACTGGAGGGAGGCGATTTAGCCCAAGGAACGATTGTTAACAAAAGCAACGGAGGCAGACAGTGTGTAAACCAGTTTGGGTGGGAGTATACTGATTAGGAAAGTGGCAGGTAACTGCTAAAAAATTTTCTACAAAGTCTCCTCCTCCTTTCTTCTAAGAAAGGCCAAACTCCACAATGTACATCTAACACCCTTTAGATCCAACCATTCCATACTCCTACTTCCCTCACAAAACCTATTCTCCTGTCAAAACAGTAAAGTACAAGCTGAACATATCCTGCACATTTCCTCCACGCATGGATTTGCTCATTATTAAGAAGTGTGCTCCTGTCCAAGGCTAAGTAGTCAAAATCCTACCCCTTCTTCAAGAGCTAGCTCAAATGCTACTTCTTCCATGATGCTTACCCAACTTAGCTAAAAATTATTTCTCTTTTTCTTGTGGTTCCCAAAGCATTTTGTTTCTATTTTTACTCAGACACTCAAATGTAGGTCTGGACCCAGTGTAAGGTGTTGAACCCTATATGGGCAATAAGAATGGATGTCTCAGATTGAGATAACGAGGGCACAGAAGTCCAAAGTTGTCAGCTTTTTAGGGAATGATGAGCAAATAAATTGGATCTACAAAGAAGTAAGTATCCTTGCTAAGCATTAGCAACTACATACCAGTCATCAAAAGGCAGGTGAAGGCATGTGTAGTATATTCAGTTTGTAGTCCTCCTAACTCATGTTTCTAAACTGCTTTCAGTTTGTTAGCTGTGGCTGTTTGTGAGGCAAATGCTTTCCAGATGGAAAACTTTACTGAGCAGAAAACAAGAACTTGTGCCACATACCGGGTGGGCAGGAGTTTCATTTTTAAAGAAATCCCTGTCCTCGAATTCCAGGATCTAGGACTAGAATACCAGTGTGTGAATAAAATTAGAATTTTATCTGAGACGTGTCCAGAAGCTTGGCTAACTCCTTTTCATGGTGCTGATAGAAATGAAACTATAGATATAGCTTGGGTTTAGAGGCCATAGGGATCTGTAAATATTAGTAGAACACAGTGATACCTGAAGCAAATATTTTAGTTTAAAATGAAATAAAAGTGATTAGAAAGCAAGACCAGAATAAGAGCAGAGACCAAAGGATTCACAGACAACAAAACAAAACCAGAGTAGTGACATTAACTTCTCAAATACCATAGTTCTGTTAGGCCCTCAATGTGTTTGCTATTATTAAAGAAAGGCACAATTTCACAGACAAATTAGGCTGCCCCCTTTTGGTCAGTAAATCATAAAAGCTTAAAAGGCAGGAAAGATTTAACAAGTTATTCAAATACTTACAGGATCAGAATTTTGTCCTCATTCAAACAACTTCTCCAATTAACCGTGGAAAGGCTATTCAATTTTTCAGTAGACATCGCCATTGAGAAATACTTATTAACTCTATACAAAGGACACAAATGATTTTTCAAGATACTTATATAACAGAAAATATTCAAAATACTATATAGCTTGCTGTTGAAAGCCAGAACCTGGGTCCTCTCCTAGTACTTGCCTAAGGTATTTAAAACTGCCACTTGCACAATCTGCATACCTTTTCTGTATTTAATACCAAGGTGAGTATATTAAAAACATAGGCTAAGACAAGCATGCCAAGGGCAACAGTTTTACTCTGCCTAACGTCATAGAACAAAAACAGGCAAATTGATTACATAAATGCACATCAGGCCATTCTACTAATACGGGATTCTCAGAAAAGATCTCAAAGCCCTATCCATTCATTCAACAATATGAATGGTCAACTATGTGTCAGACACTTGAATGAACAAGAGGCATGGCCCCATCTTATATAGGCCATAAACTAGCCATTAGCATCTTATTCCAAAAACTCTTCAGCGAAATAACCTATGATGCAAAAAAGCCATCAAATCTAATGCAAAATCTGTTATACCACGAGAAAGAGTATATGAAAAAGGAAGATTTCAATGGATAAACTACTAGAAAATGACAAAAATTCATCAATTCTCTTTAAGTGGTGTGAATTCAAAAAGAAACATTTTCCTAGTCTCTAAAATGGGCACCAGAAGATATAATGGTTGCTTCCTTTCTTTAGATGATTATAAAAATATTAGTATCCTGTAGTCAAAATGCAGAAGGATAGGGTACCCTTACTTGGTCTCCTTTAATTAAGAAGCTAGAAACACCAAGCTACACAATATTTACATTTTTAGTGAAAAATAATTTAGGTTACAGCAGCCAATGAAGAAAATGGCACCAGAGGGAAAACTGGGAATGACTGAAGATTCTGAACTGCCTTGAAGCTTTATTAAGGTGTGGCCGATTCCAACACTGTGCACTTCAGTTATATCACTGTCCATGTAAATATCTGTAAGCACCTTGGAGCACTGGCACTAATTTCCCAATTGTATTCCTGCATTCATTCCAAAACCCTGGACCTTTTAGAACTATTCCAAAATGGCGACCTGATTCTTAACACATTTGAGGGCAGCTTACCCCTGGCCAGAGGTTCTAGTGTAACTGATCTTTTTGTAAATTCCACCTTAATTGAGCTCAACCAATACATGTCTGAATATAGCAACAATCAATGAAAAATCTTCATCTGAAGTTTTGGAAAAGGGGTAAAGTACTGCTTCCTTCCTATTCAAATTTTCCAGCAAGGACAAGCTGGCTAAAAAACTTAAGAGCCCAAGGAAAAAAAAAAAACTCACAATCTCACGAACTTTTCGACTTTCTCTCTCAACCTCCCACACCGTCTCATAATCTCTCACTAAGTTAACTTCATTCCTTAAATATGAACTCATCTACACATTTCTACAATTTCACCGCAGTGAAATTGTGACCAGCAACAATCTCAGATAAAAACTTATGGAACTAATTATGAATCAAAGCAAGAGCTGCACTTGGACTTTTTAACTCCCTCAAGGAATCAAGGAGTGAAGGTAGTAGAAAACTTGGAAAAGGGAAAAAAGTGTGTTCCATCTTTTCTTCACACATTATTCTTACTGCCGTTCAACCAGGAAGCAAGGGGTGGCCAGTTTCCCCCTTTTCTTCTTCACACCTCACAGAAAATGCTCTCGGGACCTCCGCCCCACTTGCCCTGACAGCTTCTCCCCGCCTCCCCCCGCCCCCCAACCCGAGCCAAGCCAGGCAAATACTACCCCTCCTTCTAGCCCCCTCCTCGATTTATTCAACAGATCTCTTCCCCCAGTAGCACACTTTGGGCCGCCCGGCCCACCCTTACAGTTTCCTCGAAGTTACCGTTCCCCAGCCCTGCAAGAGGAATTCCTCTGGCAGCCCCGGCTGGACCCAATATTCTCAGGTTACATTTCTAAACCTCGGATCTCGCAGTCATCAACGCTCCCTACGCTTGTCCAAGCAGCCAGGCTGCCCCGTCCGTCCCCTTCCCAATTTACCCAGTGTTTTCTCTTCAGCCCAATCCCGCAGCCGCCCACCTAACCCAAGGAGCATTGTCTTGGTCTACCCAGGCCCGAAGAGCGACCCGCAAGTGCTCGGCCCACCCAGAATCGCTTCAATTTCTGGCTCAGGAGACGCCGCCCCGCCCTCTCCATCCTTCTCGCGCCAGTCGTCCTACTCACTGCGCCCGGCGGAGGGCTCGGCGCGGGAAGGGCGCGGGATTCGGACGCGCTCCCCGCTCCCCGCTCCCGACCTCCGCCGCGAGCGCGCGGCCCCTCACCCAGGGCTCCCGCCGCCGCCGCCGCCGCCGCCGCGCGCCTCCCCCCCGCTTCCCCGCCTCTAGCGGGCTCTTCACCTCAGAGCAGCGCCCACGAGCCCGAGAGGAATCGGTGCCGCGCTACTGACGCGTGTTGTCGGGCCGGCCAGGGGAGTGGCGACCAGAAAAGCAACAAGCCGGTTGACCGCGGTTGAGCCCCTCACTGAAGCGGCGTACCGCAGGCCCCGGCCAACGGCCCTCCCCTCAGCCGAACAAAAGAGCCTCGCACTCTGCGCTGCCCGCCGCCCGCATCACGCAGGCGCGACGTCCCGCCGCACAGCGCTATGGGACTCGGAGTCCGTCCCAGACTACATGACCCGAAGTGCTGCGCGCCTTCCACGGCGCCACGCACAGTTTGCAAGGGTTTCGAAGTTTTACTTAGTTCTTCGATAGCTAGTGCCACCGAAGCGACTGCAGTTTAGAAAGCTGCAACCTAGAAAGTTAAAACGTGTGGTTTTACAAGAGAGTCTGATGCTTGTTCTGAAATATCAACCACTTCTGGACAGTAGTTCACATCCTTGAAAATTTTGAATCTTATAACAGGTTTCTCACCAGATCTCTGTAAAGGCTCCTACGTCTCGGCGTTGAGATTGCAGTACTTCCCTTTCGAGTCCTTCCCTGACCCCTTAGGCTAGGTAGGTCCGCCTGGTAGGCGTCATCATGGTATCTCATTGGCTGCACCAATGGGTGGCTTTAGTGCCAAGACCCCCATTATCCATGAACACCCCTCCCTCACCCAGCCTCCCCAAAGAAACACAGAAATAGGCAAAAAAACATGTTTCTTATTCTTTGAGACAAGTGTTCTAATTCTTCTAATATCAACTAGATTGCTGTCCCCAAACCCACTCACGTGGGAATTCGGTCTCATCGTAATATTCACCCCACTTTATTGTCATGTCTGTCTTCTCTCTTGGACTCAAAACACCACTCCAATAGGGGCAGAAACCCTGGCCCAGTACAGCCCCTAGCATACAGTAGTCAATCAACATTTGTTGACTAAATGATTAAATGAATTAATATGTTCTTCTCCTACCTGACAGAAAGTGTAGGTGATCAAGATTTCCTTCGTCTCTTTTCTTCACATCATATTTGTGGGGTTTTTAGATCTCCCCCCTTACTCTACTTTTCCTTATCCAATCAGGAACTAAATAGAACTTCTACCACCAAGGTGATGTTTTCCCCCTTACCTGGAATTCAAACATCCTCCTAATCAGAGGGAAAGGAAAAAGGCAACTAGTCTACTGCACTCCACCAAAGAATGCAGGAGTCTGCATTTATATAGCAGTTTTGCTGTACCAGGTACTGTGCAGGATTCTGGAGAATTGCCATGTAAGAAACCCAGCCCAGCAATATCATAAAACAGTTTTGCTAAAAGAGCTGTGAGAGCAGAGATGAGGGCAGTTCTTCCTGAGACATTTTTGGGTTGGGTGTCCATGAAGAGGCAAAAATTCATCTGTTCATTCCCTCCTGAAGTGCCCTATTCTGTTTTTAATAATTTTAATGATGAGAAACTTAGTTGTAATACTATTAGCTACTAGCTAGGAATTTTGTTAAGTCCTTGATTAATGTTATTTAATCCTGACATCAACCCCAGGAGGTGGAATTGCTATTTCCATTTTGCAGAAAAGTCTCAGAGGCTGTGTAACCTGTCCAATGGCATTAAGCAAGAAAGTGTTGGAATCAAGATTTGATGTTATTTCTAACTCCAAAACCATATTTCCACCTGTATAAAATGCTGTTATCCCCAGTTCCTCATACTGAGCTGAATTCTGCTTCCCCATGTAAATGCCATCTATTTCCTTACTTCTGGCTTCTGTAGCAGCACACAGTTCTCTTCTGTTAACCTAATTCCTCTTTCATATTGTACTTCTAGTATTGAAATTCCGCCTTCATATTCCTTAAGGTCTCTCTTTTCTAAGCTAAATGTCACCATTTTCTTAAACTGTATATCATAGGACAACAGTTTCAGATCTAGCACATCTAGTTCGTTAAATTCTGCCTCTTATAAGCATATTTCAAAGTAGAGGGAGCCATCATGGCCCTGGTGCTCTACATCATTCTTGAATTAAGGGAGTCAAAGGTCACCTTCTCTTTTTAGGTAGCACAGCGCCACCAAGTTTATGCTAATCTGCAATCAACTAAGAGCTCTCTTGTTAATCATCTGTTCTGGAATTCTGCCAGGGATGGATGTCAAACTCTCAAGCCTCCAAGTTTCTGCATTAACAAAATCTTTTTTGAAAGTCTTTTGGGATTAAATGGATTTAGTTCTTTTCTCTTCCCATAAGAATGATGACATTTCAAACTATTCAGACTTTCAGGGTTTCTTTTCTTTCTAAGGGTAATGGCACCTCAGTCATAATGATCTTGCTCAAGACAACATTCGAAGTGACATTGCTCATGCCTAACAGGAAATATGTCTGTCATATGAAGTTTCCAAAATCACAGGAATGAGGGGAAAGGAGGAAGTGTGATGTTGCAAAAAAGAACAAGGACTTGGTATCAGGCTGAACTGGATTCAATTCTGTCTCTATTATTTGCCTGCTGTGTAACTTTGGACAAGCCGCTTAACTTCTTGAGCCTCAGCAGCTTCCATGAAAATCTAAAATATGAAAGTATTATTTAAGACCTAACATGCAGCATTTCTGTAGGATTAACCGTAATGTGTAAAGGGAATGGCACATAGCTGGCCCTCAGTACACAGTAGTTGTTTTAAGTATAGTAGATAGCTGCTTCTGAAATGTGATTTAAGGAGTGGAGGAAATACAGGACTTTTAAAATATTTTCCTCTGCACTGTCTGAAATTCTTTGTTTAATTTTTTCCCACAATTTTAAAAATTATGGCAAAATATATAAAACATAAAAAAGTTAGATACATTCATAATGTTGTGCAACCATTGCCACCATCCATCTCCATAACTTTTTTTATCGTGTAAAATTGAAACTATACCCATTAAACAATAACTCCCCATTCCTCCCTTTCTCCAGGCCCTGGCAATCACTATTCTGCTTTCTGTCTCATGATTTTGACTAAGTACTCATATAAATGGAATCATACAGTATTTGTCTTTTTGTGACTGGCATATTTCATAAGCATAATGTTCTCAAGATTCATATGGATATATGTATAGCATACATCAAAATTTCCTCCTTTTTAAGGCTGAAGAATGTCCCATTTTAAAAAAATAAATTTATTTTATTTTTGGCTGTGTTGGGTCTTCGTTGCGTCTTCGTTGCTGTACATGGGCTTTCTCTAGTGGGGCTATTCTTTGTTGCGGTGCACGGGCTTCTCATTGCAGTGCCTTCTCTTGTGGAGCACGGGCTCTAGGTGCGCGGGCTTCAGTAGTTGTGTCTCGTGGGCTCTAGAGCACAGGCTCAGTAGTTGTGGCGCACGGGCTTAGTTGCTCCGCGGCATGTGGGATCTTCCCGGACCAGGGCTTGAACCCGTGTCCCCTGCATTGGCAGGCGGATTCTTAACCACTCTGCCACCAGGGAAGGGAAGCCCCCACCAAGGGAAGCCCCCACCAAGGGAAGCCCCCACCATTTGTATATATCAAATTTTGCTTACCCATTCATCTGTTGTTAGGCACTTGGGTTGCTTCCAGGTTTTAGGTAAACATGGGTATACAAATATCTCTTCCAGACCCTGCTTTCAATTACTTTGGTTATACACCCAGAAGTGCAATTTCTGGATCATTGGTAATTCTATTTTTAATTCTTTGAGGAAATCCATACTGTTTTCCAGTGACTGCACCATTTTACATTCCCACCAACTGTGCACAACAGTTTCAATTTCTCCATACCCTCACACGTTTGTTGTCTTGTTTTTTGTTTTGTTTGATAGCAGCCATCCTAATGGGTATGAGATTCTTTGTTTCATTTTGACTACTACTTGAAATTCTATTGTTAAAGAGTTTTATTCATTTGGGGTTAACAAGCATTCTCTTTTAAAAGGCAAATATACTTAAGAGCGATCTGTCTCTCTTACCTCCCCTGGTCAGTCTGATTCTCATGTGACTTCCAGGTAGTAACTGGACTCTAATTACCTATACTTCTCAAATCATGCACCCATAGCCCTGACACTGATTGGTTTTTCTCACGTGAAGGGATCACTTCTTGGAGTGCTGTGATTTGCTAGCATTTCAAGTGCAAAAAAGATGGGCCCCATTATCAAGTATTAGAAATTAATGTTGAAAAAATGAGCCAGAGATGGGGCACTGCCTATTTGTGAAACATATATTTCATTCAAGTTATTTAATGAATTTATTTTAAAACACTTATTGAGTCAAGCTCCAGCAGATCAGGGTATTTTCCTATTTGGCTCACTGCTTTACTTTTAATGCCTAAAATGGTGCCTAGACCATAGAAAGGGCTCAGTAAATGTTTGTTGAATGAGTGGATACATTCTACAGATATATTCTGTGGTTCTCCAAGTATAGTCCACACACTCTGGGAGTGCCTAAGATGGTTTCAGGGAGTCTGCATGGTCAAAACTATTTTCATAATGATATTAAGACATTATTTGCTCTTTTTCATTGTGTTGGTATTTTCACTGATTGTGCAAAAGTGGATGAAACTCCTGGCATATCAGGATGAATCAAGGCAGTGTGGCACCAACTTGTATTATACTTGTATTCTTTTTTTTAAAAATTTATTTATTTATCTTTGGCTGCGTTGGGTCTTCATTGCTGCGCGGGCTTTCTCTAGTTGTGACGAGCGGGGGCTACTCGTCGTTGTGTTGCGCGGGCTTCTCACTGCAGTGACTTCTCTTGTTGCAGAGCATAGGCTCTAGGCGCGTGGGCTTCAGTAGTTGCAGCATGCGGGCTCAGTAGTTGTGGCTCGCAGGATCTAGAGTGCAGGCTTTTAGTAGTTGTGGTGCATGGGCTTCGTTGCTCTGTAGTATGTGGGATCTTCAGGAACCATGGCTCGAACCTGTGTCCCCTGCGTTAGCAGGCAGATTCTTAACAACTGTGCCACCAGGGAAGTCCCTATACTTGTATTCTTCACTGCCACACCTAGGCAGTAAAAGAATTAAGAAGCCACTTTCACTTAAGACTGTCCTTTTTTAAAAAAATTAATTAACTCATTAATTAATTTGATTGTGCCAGGTTTTAGTTGCGGCAAGCAGGCTCCTTAGTTGCAGCAAGTGGGCACCTTAGTTGTGGCAGGCAGTCTCCTTAGTTGTGGCATGCGACCTCTTAGTTGCGTCATGCATGTGGGATCTAATTCCC